TGGATGGCATCACCAACTCAATGGACATTAGTTTGAGTAAACTCCGGGAGTTGGTGATGGACAGGGAGGCCTGGCGTGCTGCAGTCCATGGGGTCACAAAGAGTCAAACACGACTAAGTGACTGAACTGACCTGAGTATTTCTGAAATCTTGATAAATTTGGAGAATTCTGGTCAGGTATCACAAGAAATTTGTATTTGTGACCTTCTAAAAATGAACATGTACTACTTCTCAGGTAGTTAGTAGAAGGTATTAGGGCCTTAGAGCTAATTTACTATTGTTTTGTTGATTAATGGCTCTTTCTTTTGCAAACAGAAAAGAAAATTTCATTAAATAGTTTTTACACTTTCTTTAGTTTAATTCGTCTCATGTTCCTTTATGTATACAATCCCTCCCATATTCTTTCTTTCCAGATCTGGTTCCCTATACCTGGAGCTTCCAATCTCAGAAGATATTTACCTTTTCTGTTCTCTCTCTACCACTTCTCTTTCTTTCTCTTTCCCTCTCTCTCTTTCTCCATCTACCAATCCCAACCTGAGGAATTACAGCAATTCACAAAAAGTAGTCCTCAGCTACAGCTCAACTATTAAAAACAAAGAGAAAAGAAAATGAATACTGCTATACTTAGACCAATTAAAAGCTTCCTTCATTTGTAACCTAAATACATAACAAAAACAATCAAATTGTACAGTCATTGGTATTTGAAGTAAAACAACACTTTCATTTGCCTTGTGTTCCTCTCTACTCAACAAAACTTCAACTCCATATTAGCCATATCTTTTATACTGTTCTGAATAGTAAAACCATTAGTATATTTTACACTGGATGTTTTACTTAATTATAAAATAAATTCTTCCTATCTTTAAATCATTGTCTTTCCCATAGAAAAGATGGGCCAAACAAATATGTAAAGCAACTGCCATCTTTCCAAGAGATCGCCAGAATAATCTGATGATTAAGAAAGACAAAGTTTAGTACATCTACCACAATAAAGGATAGCAACACTTTGACAAAGGCTTAATAGCCTTAGAAGGAGAATAGAAGGTGATATTCATAGGACTGGGGAGTCTGAGTACAAATGGCTTCTGATAGCTCTTGCAAAGCAGAGAACTTTTGTTTTGGGGATTGGGCAGAATTTCTGACATCATAGTTCAGAGTTGGTGGTACGGTGACCAACTCATCCGTGGTTTCCCTGGACTTTCCCAATTTTAGCTTGAAAATCCCACATGCCTGTGTGCATTCAAGTCACATCATAGCAATTAAACTTAATTTTTTCATATTTTTATTGTGGGACGGTGTATATATAATACAAAGCGGGCTTCTCTGGTGGTTCAGACAGTAAAGAATCTGCCTGTAATGTAGGAGACCAGGGTTCAAGCCCTGGGTCAGGGAGATCCCCTAGAGGAAGGCATGGCAACCCACTCCAGTGTTCTTGCCTGGAGAATCCCACAGACATAGGAGCCTAGCAGACTACAGCCCACGGGGTTGTAAAGGGTCAAAACTACCGAAGCAACTTAGTACCCACACAACAGGCGCATGTATAATATGGGGGCTCCCCAGGAAGCTCAGTGGTAAAAAGAATCCATCTGCCAATGCAGGAGACACAGGAGATGCCAATATGATCCCTGGATTGGGAGGATCCCCTGGAGAAGGAAATGGCAACCCACTCCAGTATTCCTGCCTGGAGAATCCCATGGACAGAGAAGCCTGGTGGGCTACAGTCCCTAAGAGTCACAAAGAGTGGGACACAACTGAGCAAATGTGCATGGATGCACATATATGACATTTGCCATTTTGGGGGGCTTCCCTGATAGCTCAGTTGGTAAAGAATCCCTCTGCAATGCAGGAGACCCCGGCTCGATTCCTAGGTCGGGAAGATCCCCTGGAGAAGGGATAGGCTACCCACTCCAGTATTCTNCATCGGAAGGTGAGCAGGATTGAAAAGGGCATTGGATACCCTGCAGAGGTCAAGGAGCAGCATGAGAGAAGGTGAGATCTAGAGCCCAATTCCAGGATCCGCGGCAGGGAGGATTCTAGCACTCCCCGCGGGGGCGGAGCCTATGGCAGGGCGGGGCCGACCAGCCACAGAGGTTGGGCGGGGCCTGAGCTGGGCTGTGGGCGGGGCGTGGGCGGGGCGGGTGAGCAGTGGGCGGGTCCGTTGCTGGTGACTCCCTACCGCAGCGCCTGGGCCTGCACCCGACGCCGACCGGACCGCGGCGCCGAACGGCAGCCTAGTCCCTGGCCCATCTCCATGTTGGTGGCGGCCTGAGCGGAAGCCCGAGTGGGATGCGGCTGACGCGGAAGCGTCTCTGCTCGATTTTCATCGCCGTGTACTGCCTCTTCTCGCTCTACGCCGCCTACCACGTCTTCTTCGGGCGCCGCCGCCGGACGCCGGACGCGCCTTTGCGGGGCCTCAGGAAGGGGGTTGTTCCGGTGCGGGAGAGGCGCGGCCGAGGTAGGACACCGGACCGCGGCCTCTCTCCTCGGCTGCGCGCCGGGGCGCGGGGCTGAGGGATGGTAGGGGCCGGGGTGGCTGAGCCACGCTGCCACCAGCCCCGCTCTGGGGTCCAGGATGGCTCCGGGGCGCACTTCTCTTCCAGCTCTCGGTAGCCACCCCAGGCCTCGGGATTGGAGGCTATAGGAATGCTCCGGGCCTCGCCCAAATCTCCTGTGCTGTCGCCACTCCCCCACCCCTGGGGCTAACAGGTGCACGCACTTTTTAAAAATACATCTTGAATATCCAAGACTTTGTCACAAAATGCCAGATTCTCTGGAATGCCGCTGGCTTAAAGACATCTATTCCCATATTGAAACAAAAGAAAGTGAAAAGTGAAGTCGCTCAATCGTGTCCGACACTTTGCGACCCCATGGACTACCAGGCTCCTCCGTCCATGAGATTTTCCAGGCAAGAGTACTGGAGTGGGTTGCCATTTCCTTCTCCAGAGGATCTTCCCGACCCTGGAGTGTGTTGCCATTTCCTTCCCAACCCTTGAGTAGGCTGCCATTTCCTTCTCCCAAGAATATTCCCGACCCAGGGATCGAACCCCAATCTCCCACATTGTAGGCAGACGCTTTACCGCCTGAGCCACCAGAGAGGACTGTTGAAACAAAGAGCCTTCTGTAATCCTGCGGTGACTTCGGAAGACTAGAGCCCTTTATCTCCAAGTTTTGATCTCTTTTTTGTATTTTGTTGACCCTTGTCAGGATCGGACTCGCTTATTTCTAGCTTCTTTCAGAATTTTGCACAATAGTATCTGAAACTGTTGGACACTTTTCATGTTGAAATCAAGTTTTATGTATAGTTTGCGTAATGTATATACAGTCTATATAGAATTGGCAAACGTTAAGTAATAGTACATATTACTGTACCCAGTTATTTTAGAAAGCTTTTGGGGGGAGCCTAACATTTTGTTAACATTTTATTTCAAGTTCTTTTGGGGTAATGGTTCAATCAAAATTAAGTTCTGATTTCCTTTTTTAAATTTTTATTGTGTGTTTAGCCTGTTCAAATTCTCTTGCTTCATCTCTTTGAAAAATTGAAGTTAGGATGCAGGTAAAGCTCCCTGACTTTCCAGGTGGCTGAGTGGTGAAGAATCCACCTGCTATGCAGGAGATGTGGGTTGGATCCCTGGATAGGAAAGATCCCCTGAAGAAAAAAAAAAAAAAAAAAGTGNCATGGACAGAGGAGCCTGGCATGCTACAGTCCATGGGGTTGCAAAAGAGTCGTACACTACTTAGCAGCTAAACAACATCTAATTTAAATGGCTTGAATTTATCTACAACTGATGCTCTGCCTTATTGATAACACTTGTTACTCTTTTTATAACACAGAACAATCTACTTTGAGAAGTGAAGAATGGAATCCTTGGGAAGAAGATGAAAAAAATGAACAACAACACAGGCTTAAAACTAGCCTTCAGATATTAAATAAGTCCACAAAAGAGAAAAAACACTTCCATGTACAAATCTGGGGCAAAGCTGCCATTGGTAAGTTAATGTTTAAAGCTAAGATATGTAAAAGCATCGTATAAAAGCACTATAAATACATTTATAGTCTATTTCGTCATTTGTTAAGATACTATGATACATTTTTTTCACTTTTTTCAATATTCCATTTCTTTTTTTGTTAGACAACATCTGTGTAAACACACACAAACATACACATGTGCACCTGTCTTTAGCAGAGCACAGCTTTATTTGTAGATACAAAAGAGTCGGTTGTGTAAACATCATTATATTAAAATGCCTATGTCAACTGAATTTTCATGGAACTATGTGTTTATTAGACACTTGATGCACAAGTGTAAGATGTGGCCTCTGACCTTAATGGCCAAACAAGTTTAGGAAACATTGAACTGAACAAAGTTAAACAAGGTTCTTTGTTGCAGAAAGTTTGTCACAGGTTTTAATATGCCAGTGTTCATCATGAATGCCTCAGAAGGGGATATAGTATGTAGTTCATTAGACTTGGTTGCCCACTAAGACACTTTTGCTCTGAGTATCATGAGTATTGTGTTCCAAATTATATGATATGCTCAATTAGAGAATGGGACCCTCAATGGCAAAAGAGTCAGAAAGAACTTAGTCAATTAGAAGTGAGTTTTCTGGCCATTAAACATGAGTTAAATAGATATACATTAAGGGATATGGATAAAAGCTACCAGGTGAAAGGAAAGTAAACAGACTAGTAGTGCCTGACCCATAATGTTTCATAAATTCTTAAACATTTGCATACATATATACATCCTTGAAAATTACTGATCTCTAAAGTTCAAGTACCCAGATCCAGACCTCTAATCATCAAGTTCTAGCAATTTTTATCTCTATTAGAATCTGTCATATTAATTTCTTTCTTTAAATTTCCACTTCCTCATTCTAGTTTTTAATTAAATATACTTCTTAACAGTTTTCATGTTTCTAGACTTTTTTGATTTCAATCTAATAGGCACAAAGTGGTCAGATGAGCTTTATCAAGCATTGCATTCATCAGCCTGTTCCCCAGGCACAGTCATAGGATACCAGTTACAGAAATTCCCATTCAAAAGGGAGAAAATGGAAGAAGGAGTCACAGGTTTAAGCAGCTTTGATATCCAACCATGCAAACTCCATTAGGCTTCAAGCCCTGGGAGTGAGTAATCTATGGCTCAAAACGTTCTTTCTGGATTTTTCAGCTCCATGCTTGGGAAGTCATCCTTCCATTTTCAGGAAGGTTAGCACGTGTTTGCAGCTCAGTAGTTTTATCAGCCTGTTTCCTGCTCTTAGGATTTTGGGAATCCAATAAGCTTGTTTCACTTCAACTCCCTCTCTGTCCCTTTTAGTCCAAGTTGGCAGTGTTTCTATTAATACAACGTTCTCAAGAACCATGTCAGTCTCCCATATGTATGTCATAAAGATTCGCTTTATTAGACAAGAGTTCCTCCACAGGTGTTTCCTGGATAATCCCATCTCTATTTCTAGCTTCTGCTGATAATGGCTAAGGAAATCCACAAATCAACACCTAATATTTAAAAAAAAACAAAAACCCTCTATGTGATTGAATATTCTGACCAGACATTATCCAAAGGATGTCAGCTACATCTTTAGCCTTCCATTTTCAGGAAGGTTAGCATGCTTTCCTTACAGTGAATCCCCTAATTTTTCCTCTCTTTTGCAATTTGAAGAGGCTGAGAATTTCCAAAATCATCAAGTCATGATTCCTTTTTGCTTAATTTTTTTCTAAGTCTCTCTTTTCAACTCATATTTTATGTAATCAGCGAGAAGAAATGAGGCCACAGCTACTTTACTTAGAAATTTCTTCAACTAACTATCCAGGTTTATCATTTACAAGTTCTGCTTTGCACATAAGTGCAGGAAACAATTCAGCTCAACTTTCTACTTCTGTATATAACAAGGATCTTCTTTACTCCAGTCTCTAATAACATGTTCCTCACTTCCTTCTGAGCCCCCACCAATAGCACTTTTAATGTGCCTATTTCTTCCAACAATCGGTTTGTGATGATTTTGATATTCTCTAAAATGATACAAGTTTTTCCCTACTGTTCTCCTAGCTTTCTCCTGAGTTCTCAACAACTGAGTCACTAACATCCATCTTTCTACCTACAGTCTGTTTAAGTCAGTCTAAGTGTTTTTTAATCCTCGTTCTCAAAATTTTTTCAGCCTTTCCCCATTACCCAGTTCCAAAGTCACTTCCAGATTTTTAAGTATTTGTTACAGCAGCTCCCCATTTCTATAGCTACATAATATGTAGTTTCCTTTAGCTGCTATAACCAATTACCAAAAAGTTAGTGGCTTAAAACATTTTTTTATTTAAATTTAATTATTTTTAATAGGAAGATAATTGCTTTACAATGTTGTATTGATTTCTGGTGTACAACAGTGTGAACCAGCCATAAGTATACATATACCCTTCCCTCTTGAAACTCCATCCCCATCCCTTTAGGTCATCACAGAGCCCCAGGCTGAGCTCCCTGTGTTATATAGCAGCTTCCCACTAGCTGTTTATTTTACACATTGTAACGTATATGTTTCAGTGCTAATCTCCCAATTCACCCCACTCTGTCCCCCTGCTGTGTCCACAAGTCAGGAGACCACCTGCAGTGCAGGAGACCTGGGTTCTGCCCCTGGCTTGGAAGAGCCGCTGGAGAAGGAAATGGCAACCCACTCTGGTATTCTTGCCTGGGAAATCCCATGGACAGAGAAGCCTGGCAGGCTACGGTCCATGGTGCTAAGAGTTGGACACAACTTAGCAGCTAAACCACCAACCACTACCATGGCTGAGCAACATTCCATTGTATATAAAAACAACATACATTTTTTAATCTATAATTGACTTATAAGTTTCAAGTGTACTACATAATGATTTGACATAGGTGTATATCGTGAAAGGATCAATACAGTAAGTCTAGTGAACATCCATCACCTCACATAGTCTTGTGATATGAACTTTATGATCTACTCTCTTAGCAACTTTCAAAAATGCAAATACAGTATTATTAACTTTGGTCACCATAAATTTATTATATTACATTTCTGAAGGCAGAAATCTAAAGTGTGTCCTCAGGCTATATTCCATTTGGATGCTGTAGGAGGAGCATCTGTTTCCTTGCTTTTTACTGCCTTCTAGTAACTGCCTTCATTCCTTGACCCATGCCCCACCTCATCCTGACTTCTTCCTCAAACCTCTTTCCCTCATTTTGACACTCCTGGCTCCCTCTCCTGAGGACCCTTGTGATTACATAGGACCCACCCAGAACAACGGACTGGTTCAAAATTGGGAAAGGAGTATGTCAAGACTGTATATTGTCACCTTGCACCTTGCTTATTTAGCTTATATGTAGAGTACATCATGCGAAATGCCAGGCTAGCTGAATCACAAGTGGAATCAAGATTGCCAGGAGAAATATCAAGAACCTCAGATAGGCAGATGATACCACTCTAATGGCAGAAAGCAAAGAGGAACTAAGAAGTCTCTTGATGAAGGTGAAAGAGGAGAGTGAAAAGGCTGACTTAAAACTTAACATTCAGAAAACTAACATCATGGCATCTGGTCCCATCACTTCATGGCAAATAATGGAGAAAAAGTGTAAACAGTGGCAGATTTTATTTTCTTGGACTCCAAAATCACTATGGACAGTGACCACAGCCACAAGATTAAAAGATACTTGCTCATTAGGAGAAAAGCTATGACAAACCTCAGTTCAGTTCAGTCACTCAGTTGTGTCTGACTCTGCAACCCGATGGACTGCAGCATGCCAAGCTTCCCTGTCCATCACCAACTCCTGGAGCTTGCTCAAACCCATGTCCATTGAGTAGGTGATGCCATCCAACCATCTCATCCTCTGTCGTCCCCTTCTCCTCCTGCCTTCAGTCTTTCCCAGCATCAGGGTCTTTTCAAATGAGTCAGTACTTCTCATCTGGTGGCCAAAGCATTGGAGTTCCAGCTTCAGCATCAGTCCTTCCAATGAATATTCAGGACTGATTTCCTTTAGGATGGACTGGTTGGATCTCCTTGCAGTCCAAGAGATTCTCAAGAGTCTTCTCCAACACTACAATTCAAAAGCATCAATTTTTAAATCCGTGGCTGATTCATGTCAATGTATGGCAAAAACCACTACAATATTGTAATTAGCCTCCAACTAATAAAAATAAATGAAAAAAAAATACATCAATTCTTCAGTGCTCAGCTTTCTTTATAGTCCAACTCTCACATCCATACATGATTATTGGAAAAACCATAGCCTTGACTAGACAGGCTTTTGTTGGCAAAGTAATGTCTCTGCTTTTTAATATACTGTCTAGGTTGGTCATAGCTTTTCTTCCAAGGAGCAAGTGTCCTTTAATTTCATGGCTACAGTCACCATCTGCAGTGATTTTGGAGCCCCCCAAAATAAAGTCTCTTGCAGTTTCCATTGTTTCCCCAACTATTTGCCATGAAGTGATGGGCATAGACAATGTATTAAAAGCTAAGCACTGAAGAATTGATGCTTTTGAACTGTGATGCTAGAAAAGATCTTGAGAATCCCTTGGACAGCAAGGAGAGCAAATCCGTCAATCTTAAAGGAAATCAACCCTGAATACACTTTGGAAGGACTGATGCTGAAACTCCAGTACTATGGCCACCTGATATGACGAGCCAACTCATTGGAACAGACCCTGATTATGGGAAAGATTGAGAGCAGGAGGAAACGGGGGCGACAGAGGATGAGATGATTGGATGGCATCATCGACTCAATGGACATGAGTTTGAGCAGACTCTGGGAGATAGTGAAGGACAGGGAAGCCTGGCGTGCCACAGTCCGTGGGGTCACAAAGAGTCGGACATGACTTAACGATTGAAGAACCACAACAACACTCAGATAATCCAGCATAATCTCTCCACTTTAGCATCCTTATCTTAATCACGTTATAAAGCCTCTTTTGCTTTCTAAAGATAATGTATTTACAGGTCCTAGAGATTTCATCTTTGGCCATCTTGGGTTGGGAGAAAGCATTACTCAACATACTGTATTTGGAAATCTTTACCTGATTAGCCAAGTCTTTTAACATGGGTTTTTTTGTGCATGTCTTTTAGTACCAGAGTGTGATGAGAAAGTAACAAAACACATCTTCCAATGTAACTTCTTAGTTCCATTTAGGTAACCAGGCTCCCCAGTTACCTCATCATCTCCAGAATACCTTATTGTGTGACACTGCTCTCTACTTTCAGAGCTTTCATATAGGTGAAATCGTGATAGAACACAGGGGCTGGCCTAAAGAGATAGGATCCAGTGGCATTTGTCTTCAAACGGTATCATGTAGTGAAGGATGTGTGCTCAATTGGGAAGGAGGTGATATCTTCTTGATATATTGAATGTATATGCGTACATGAGACCCTCTGGTTCTATTTGGCATAAGATGGTGAATCCATCCCCAGCTTGTTATAGTATAGAAACAGTTCTAATCTAAGATAACTTATACTGTAATATAACACATTTCAGGATAAAACAGGCAGTCCAATGATACTTAGGGGTTTCTCAAATTTAGAATCAGAGAGTTTATTAATATATCCCACATTTTGCCACATTTTATACTGACAACATCTGAGTTAATCTCTTGTACATTAGCTGCCATGTTGATGATTTTGAGCCCAAAGAGGAATAGAATCTGATTTCTGATCAAATAATATGAAAGAGCAGAAAGTCATCTCACACAATAGAGTAAACCAGACAGTAAATGCTTTCATTTTTTGTTTTGTTAATTACCAGGTTTGTATCTCTGGGAGCATATTTTCGAAGGTTTACTTGAACCCACTGATGTGACTGCTCAGTGGAGAGAAGGAAATTCAGTTGTTGGAAGAACACATTACAGGTATTAACCGTGCAACATTAACCTTTGATATGTTGCTGTACAATGTTTTATATCAATACCAGAAGAAAACTCAGAGGAAAATATATTCATAGAAAATATTTCCACTTTAACTTGTAAAGAATGGAGAATCTCATGAATATATATTTGTAGTTAAAGCTTACCTTAAACATTTTCTTATAAAATTGGATGTTACAAAATTCTGCTTTTTTTGGAATTCTATAAAACATTTCTGATATATGGAAAAGTTCATGCTCTAAATTTTGTAACATTTGGTTATTAATAAATATTTAATGTTCTATCTTGGGGGAATGATATGTAAACAAAGTGTTTTTATTTTTCTCTTTCACATAATAGAGTCACATATTTTTATAATATTCACATGGTAGCTAAAGCTACTGCTATTAGTTCTGAAATTTTTATCCATTAAAATATTTCATATATGAGTTCTATCATGATTTGATAGTATAGATTACCATTTTACTGCAATATTCAGAAATCTTTCTTTAGATTAAATAAAATCAATGTATTATGAAGATTTTTTTGCACTCTTGTTTTTATAACTGTGATTGCATATTTTCTGAAGATTTTTAAATAGCATTAAGGCAATTTTATTTAGAAAAATTGTGGCAATGAAGTAATACTTTTTTCTATTAGATTTTGCTTTCTAATTGAAATAAAAACCAAAAATAATTATTTTAAATGCTAATTTCATTTAAGAGTTATATTATTCAGGGGGAAAAAAATGTGAACTAACGATTATGGTTTCCATTAGGATTCTATTTATTTCCCACAGAGATTAAGAGGAAAGACTATGGTTAATATGAATTTCATTTGAATTTTCACTGCTCTTTTAATTCTTTATTTACTGTATACTCACTTGGAAATCAATTTCATTGCATGTATCTTTTCAAAGAAATCATTCTTGAAAAGCAAACAGACTTTTAAATCATCACTGGTAATGATTATTTTTCCTTTCATCTCCAGGCTTATAGATGGGATTATAGATGTAATCCCACTGAAGAGTTTATACATAATTCTAAACTTAAAATAGTTGGATTCAGGTGTCTGCAAGTAGATATATGTTTTGCATATAAGTTTAACATCTTGCTGTTTTAAATGTAAGCATATGTTATGAGTATTAGTCTAATAGATCCATCTACAACATATAGAATTTCCAAAAGAATTAACATACAGTGTTATTATATTGATAGCAAAGACTTTGAGCAAATAGCATTAACTCCAAAAAGAAAAACTCACTTCCTGTTTCCTTCTTAAATATTTACCTGAGATTTTATATTATGATTAAATAGCAATGCTATTTCCTTTTAGATTTCAAGAGAACTGTGTATTCAGGGAAGTTCACTGTTATAGCTGATTTTTGTAAACAGCTTACTAAAGGTTTCGGCTCATGGAAAGTAGCATATATAATTTATCCAAAATTAATAAACTTGCATGAAATTGCAGTTTTGAGTTGAATCAGGCTTCATGGGTACTAACTAAAATGTTTTGACACATTCATTTTTTTACTTTCCCAAAAGTGAGTTGGAAGTAGTAGCTCCTCTTGAAGATACAGAAAGAGTTTCTGCATACTATCAAGATCCTTTAAATAAGCATAAATACATTCTATTTAAATAAACCTCTAAATTTGCAAAGAACTTACATTATTTAACTTTAATTTCATAACAGTTCTGAGGCAGAAAATAGAAAGGATATCATCAGTGTTCCAGGGTAAATCAGGCTCCTGAATGCTTATTCTTAACAATTCATAGGCCCAAGAGATATAATCCAAGATATCAGGTGAATAATTCAGAATGGAAATAGAGCTATCAGACAGTCCCTGTGCTTATATTGGCCTGACCAGCTCCTTACTTCCTTAAAGGCAGGCTATAAGTGATATCTAAATATTTGGGAGTTGTTTGATCAAATATGGAATTAAGTGTGGGATATAGCTATATGTAGCACTTCATGTTTCAGAAGGAAAGAAATGAAATGACTCCATGTTCACCACTGAGTCCATACCATATACAGTCTGTGCTTAGGATGTGAGTAATTGAACACATGTGGGGCAGACTGAACCTGTGATTCAGCCTGTGAAGTCCTGTCGCCTCTGGACAGGGTAGCAGTGTGACTGAGTTGTTAAGGGCACAGACTCCAGAGCCAGAATATCCCAGTTCCAGCTTTACCTCTTGTTAGTTGTCTGACCTTGGGCAAATTTCTTAACCTCTTTGTGCCTGGATTTCCTTGAGTTTAAAATAAGGCAAATTATAGTTTCTATTTCACCATACTCTGATGAAGATTAAACGTATTCATAGGTATACAGTGCTTAGGCCAGTATCAGGCACATAGTTCACTATAGAAGTCTTGTTACTAGTTTTATTATGTTTACTCTACTTAAATAGGTATTGCACCATCTCTGTATCTTTCAGTTCTCCTTTTTCTGTGTTTCCATCATTGTCTATTATCTCTCCATCACATAGCTTCCCAACAAGCACCTTACTGATACATTTTTTATGTTAATGTGTTCAGTTATGTTACAAGCTAGCATGGAACCCATTCATCTTTTGAAGAAACTTTGCCTGTCTCTACTCACATCATCATATGTTCATTTATAGTTTAATTTCATAGGGAAACTTATTTTTAATTTCTTAGAAGGAATCTTCTGTTCGTCGTGGCATTTGCTTTATTCCCAGAAAACTGCCTTCAGAATTCTGTAATGTCTCTGTGCAGGCATTATTGTAAGATATATAAATGCCTACCCATTTGATAAAACAAAAGTTAGATGCTAAGTTGCTTAATTCATTATTGTCTAAATTCAATTATGATATTTTCAGTGAGTATCTTGTCCTTATGAAAAAGGTTCTTTAAATATCATGATAGAATAAAATATGTCTGATCCTATTTTTAGAATTTCCAGGCATTACTATTATAAGAAGTTAATGAGCTCACTACTCATTACAATGAGTGAAAGCATTTATAGATAATATTAATGGTTATACTATATTTAAGTTATATACTGGATCATAGATCAATACAGATTTCAAATAAACCTTTCATTGGTAACCAAAGATAATATAGTTAATTTTTCATAATACCCATTCTCCCTCTCCAGCCAGGCTATTAAGAGGGTGGGAGTGTTTCAGCATAAACACTGAATTAGGAAGAAATGGAGTCATGGCAGTGATACTGGCCATGAGAACGGGGTGAATTGCAGCAGCTATTCAAAAGTAAGGGCCATTTATGAGTTCAGTATACCTATTTTATAAAACTGAATTTTCTAAAGCTATGTCAAAGACAATGTAGAATCAATGGCTGAGAGCTGTGTGGATGGTTAATTAGTGCACTTATTATTGATCAAGGCATTTGCCAGTCTCTTAGCTGGCAAATTATTAATCCTATCTGTAACTCACTTAATATAACAACATACAGCATTTTTTCAGTAGCACTTACTGAATTTAGAAAAAATGAAACAGTATGTATACTGGATTCTAAAAAACATGTTTTGCTCACATTCAGCTTAGAATTTAATATTCAGATTATTTCTCTGGACTATCTAAGTATCGAGAGTACTTAGGGGGAAAGTTTTTAACTGAACTTAGCAGAAAAAGTACAAATATTGAAGAACCAGAAGTTCTGACTATTAAATATGTGCTAGGAAATCTAGAAGAGGAAGTCACTGTTTTAAAATTCCATGTATAGCTCCATAAATATGTTCATTTTTCAGTTAATGGATATTTATGACTGATGCATGATTCATAACTTTAGGATACAAAAATACAATGTTTCATCATGAATAAATATACTATAATATTTTATACGTATGCCTGAGCATGCATGCTTAGTTGTTTCAATCCTGTCTGACTCTTTGTGACTCTATGGACCGTAGCCCACCAGGCTCTTCTGTCCATGGGCTTCTTCAGGCAAAATACTGGAGTGGGTGGCCATACCCTCCTGCAGGGGATCTTCCCAACCCAGGGACTGAACCCACGTCTCCTGCAACTCCTACATTGCAGGTGGATTCTTTAGCTCTGAGCCACTGGGGAAGCCCACATATGGCGTGCTGTATAGCTGGAAATTTATTACTAAATTGATTTCGTAATTTGATTCATATTTTAAATGCAGTAGGAGAATTTAAATAAATCGGTAGAACAAAATAACTCCCTTAAAGAGAATTACAGTTTACTTATTCAACATTTACTGAGTTGCCTGCTTGTTGGTTCATACTAGGTTCTAAAGATCTCAAAGTGAATAACATACTTTTCCCTGAGGGAGTTCACACACTCGAGGCTGAGATAAATACATTAATAACTTTGATACTTTATACAAAGCATAATGATAAAGACATGTATACCCCTTAGTTTTTAGGGAAATATAACTCAATGTAAGCAGAGTTGGGGATATGGCACCTATCAAGAAAGGTTTCCTAGAGGAGGTGATAGCTGAGCTGAGTCTTAAAAGATTAGAATTTAGAAAGGCACCAAGAGAGTGATTATATTCCCAGCAAAGGCAGTGTCAGAACTGATACACAGCTTGGTTTGTGCACAAAACCTCAGGGCATTCAGAACCCCCAGAACATGAAGATGGGGTAGAGTAACTGATGCTGGAAGTGGAGGGCAAGGGCCGGATCATGGCGGGCCTTGTACATGCCACAGTAAAGCTCTTGGACTTTGTTCTTGCTCAGTGAAAAGCAGTTGCAGATGATTAAGCTAGACAGTGTGGTATTGTCATGCATTTTTGGTGTGGATGTCTCTAGTAGCTGTGTGGAAAAATGATTTGAAGGAAACAACTGAAATCAGGCAGACCACAACTTTGCATCAGAAAACTCTTAAGTATCCTGCTGAGATATAAATAAGGGATGAAATTGGGAACTGGTATTCTGACAGAGCCAGGAATTTGAGAAACTTGGGGGCAAAGCTATCAGAATTTAAAGATTATTAGATGAGAGCAAGAATCAAATGTGACAGTTCCCTGGTTGCTAGCTTCCATGACAAGATAGCTAGTATGCATTCAACATAGAAAGTATGGGAAGAATAAAAGCAGATTTTCCCGCTCTTCTCTAGCTCACTACACAGCACCAGCCTAACCCCCTCTTTCACAGCAGACAGTCCTGTCTGTTTCCTCAAGAGTAGCCATAACGGTCTCCCTTAACTAGCTCCTCTAACGTTTATCTACATGATCTCTGAGTGATCCCTCACCTAACTCCTCTCTTTTCCTTAGCTCTCAGACGGTGAGGTGATTCTCTAGCTCAGAATTAACTTCCTCTACCTGTTCATCCTTTCTACATGTTGCAAGACCTTGCTCCATTGGTTACTTCCTTGCTCTCCTCATCTTCAGCCTTTCACTTACTATTACTCTCTCGCCTTCTCATTCACACTTTCCGAAGAGTTGTCTATGCCTACTGTCCCCACTCACTCTTTTTTGTAAATTTATTTAAGTATAGTTGATTTATAATGTTACATTAATTTCAGTATAGCAGAGTGATTCAGTTAAACATACACACCGGCATATATACACACACATTCTTTTTCATACTCTTTTTCCATTTGGGTTAATCATAGGATGTTCAATATAGTTCCTTGTTGTTTATCCATTCTATATATAATTGTTTACATCTGCTAACCCAGATTTCCAGTCCATCTTCCCCACTCCCCGTCCACAAGTCTCTTCTCTATTCCTGTGATTCTGTTTCATAGACAGATTCATTTGTGTCATATGTTAGATTCCACTTATAAGTGATATCATGTGGTTTTTTTCTTTTTATGACTTAATTCACTTAATATGATAATGTCTAGGTCCACCCATATTGCTGCAAATGGCATTGTTTCATTGTTTTTTATGGCTGAGTAGTATTCCATTGTGTATATATAGCTCATCTTTATCCATTCATCTGTCAATGAGCATTTAGGTTGCATCTACATCTTGGCTACTGTGGACATAGGAGTCCTTGTATCTTTTTGAATTACAGTTTTATTTGAATATATGCTCAGGAGTGAGATTGCTAGATCATATGGCAACTCTATTTTTAGTGTTTTTTTTTAGTTTTTTGTATTTTTTAGTTTTTTTCTTGTATTTTTAGTTTTTTGAGGAACTTTCATACTGCTTTCCATAGTGGCTCTACCAACTTACATTCCCACCAACAGTGTAGGGAGGCTCCCTTTTCTCCATACCCTCTTCTGCATTTGTTAATTTGTAGACTTTTTAATGGTGGCCGTCTGACTGTTACGAATTTTGAGTTGCACGTCTCCTCCCTTAACTTCTTACTGTCCCCTTCCTTCTCGTTCACTTCTCAACTCATTGCACTTTGACTAGCACACCTTCCAACACACACATACACACAACTATCTGAATCATATGGGAATTTTTTTTACCCCTAAAGTTTCTTTATCTAAATCCATGTTTCCCAAATTATGTACTAAGGTACCCTGGGGCACCACAAAGTATTTTTAATATTTGTGGGAATGACAGTTACACTTCGCATCTGTCAAACACCATGCGAATTGCTCGTTTGAGGTAGTTCACACTTTGAACATTAGATCACCCTACATCCACTTCAGAAATGTTACGCATTTGTGGAGCTGGGTTTCTCATGATTGCTGTGATCAAATCCAGGTACCACTGCGAAATCAAAGTGGAATAAGCAGTGACTGAGGCAGTGTCCTCTCCGATTCCAAGGTTTGAGAAGCTGTACAGTGCTCCATAGGTACACACATCCCATCATGAAGTGTGTGTAGCTAGTTAAGAATGAAATAGGAATATTACTTTTCTCTTCAGTGTATGCATGTTATTTTTTAAGTGTCTTCTAAGCTCTTGGACAGAAATACTTAACAAGTTATTTGAATCTAACAACTTAAAAAACATTGCTCATTAACCATTACACATTATTTTTGGTTTGGTAGATACTATGAAAAAATTACTAAAACACTGAAAGTCCTGGGAACCAAAAAAAATTGGGGAACTTCTCATCTATACCTTGACTCCGCAGCATTGACCCCAGGGCTTACACCTTTACTTGAACATGGCCTCGAGGTCTGGAAAACCGGTTGGTCAGAGCGTGAAGGGTGACATGCCTTCTTGCTGGAATGTGAGAGCCTCCTACAAAAAGGGAGCTGCAGAGACTCCACAGCGGGTCAGATGTGCCCTGAATAAATCATGCTTTTGTTAATTTGCATGGATCAATAAAATTAGAAGTACTCCTATCACTTCATTTTGGGATCCTCACCGCATCATTTGGGATCTTTCATTGTGGCGTATGGTCTCTCTAGTTGCGGCATGCTGACTTAGTTGCTCCACTGCCTGTGGGAATCTTAGTTCCTTGACCGGGGATCAGACCTGCATCCCCTGTGTTGCCAAGATGCATTCTCAACCACTGGACCACCAGGGAAGTCCCCCTGCCTGTAACTTTGGTGCTTTAGTCACTAAATCGTGTCCCACTCTTTGCAACCCCATGGACTGGAGCCCTCCAGGCTTCTCTGTGCATGGAATTCTCCAGGCAAGAATACTGGAGTGGAATGCCATTTCCTTCTCCAGCCTGTAGCTTTAAAGAAGACAAAAATGTTCATGTACTACCAATAATAACTATTTTAAGTTTACCATAACTATCCTCATCATCTCTAAAGTGCTTTCTAGCCCCTTAAATTCTGCAGATTCTCCTAAATGACTAAATAATCACTGAATCATTTGGCATCTGCCTGTCCAAGGCAAATTCAAGAAACACAATTTTGTTCCCGTAGCTTATCAGCACTGTAGAACGTCATAAAAATCACACAGCACACACACACACAACATACATATTTATTTATATATTTTGTGTTTTGACTAGTATCTACTAATTTAAGCTAACCATAGTGTCTTGGGAAAGATTCAAGCTCTCAAGTTAGATTTGGATTCAAATCTCAATGCTGCCATCACAGGCTGTGTAACTTCAGCCTGATTTCCCAGATGCAAAACAGGGGCCCAGTGTCCCCTGCAGAGTTGTAGAGGCTACAGGAGACCCGTGCAGAGGCCTGTATGCCATGCATATAAAAGGCGTTTAATAAATGTTAGCTTTCTCCCAAACAGTACTAAGCAATAAAAGCAGGATTTCCACATATTTGTACTAAATATTTAAAGATTCTAGCAAGTTATTTAAAAATGGTTGAGCAGGCTGCAAAGAATCCAGGACCATCTAATTTTACCATAGGTTAAATGGTACTTTTTATATTTAATACATATTCACTTAAAATATTTCAGTGGTACTGGTTGATCAAAGCAGCACATAATATGAAAATGTGAGTTATGAAATGTATCTACTCCTTTTATGATATTTTTAAATACTTTAAAGAATAGAGAGTAATACAATAGATTCCCATTTATCCACCACCTGGAGCCAGGTGGCACAGTGGTAAAGAATCCAATCCAGAAAAAAAAGAAAAAAAAGAATCCAATCCAGGAAACAATAGAGATACATTTTCAATCCCTGGTTAGGAAAGATCCCCTGAAGAAGGAAATGGTGACCCACTCCAGTATTCTTGCCCGGAAAATTCCATGGACAGAGGAGCCTGGCGGGCTACAGTCTATGGGGTCATAGAGTCGGACATGACAGCACACCCACAAACAGAACTAACAAATTCTGGCTGGCTGTCATATTTGCTTCAGATATATAGCTTTCCTCTTAATTAAATATTTCCCATAAAGGCATTAAATGCGCTCTTCGTATTGCACTTCATGTCCTTTCCTCTTCCTTCCTCAGAGTCAACCACTATCGTGAATTTGTTATATATCTTCCCATTCAAATGTTTATATTTATACTTTTACTAGATATATAAGCATAAGTTTTTTCCCTGTGATACTTTCAAATTTGCATATAATTAATCTGTCTACAACCAAAACTTCCCATTAATCTACATCTCTGTCCCGCCATCCAAACTGGTTCAAAAAAAGTATTATAGAAATTATTTCTAGGAAGAATATGGATGAAGTCTCATTCTATATTTTACATAAAATGACATAGAACTTCTGGTACCAAACAATTTTGTTCTCTTCTTGTTTGTCTCTTGTTTTTCTTCTGTTTTTACCAGCTTCATCACTGGTCCGGCTGTGGTCCCCGGGTACTTCTCTGTTGATGTGAACAACGTGGTCCTTGTTCTAAATGGAAGGGAAAAGGCGAAGGTCTTTTATGCCACCCAGTGGTTACTTTATGCACAGAATCTAGTGCAAACTCAAAGACTCCAGCATCTTGCTGTTGTTTTGCTAGGAAATGAACATTGTAATAATGACTGGATAAGCCAATTCCTCAAAAGAAATGGAGGCTCTGTGGAACGACTTTTCATAATATATGACAGCCCCTGGATTAATGACGTGGATGTTTTTCAGTGGCCTTTAGGAGTAGCAACGTAAGTACAAATTATTTTTACATGTTTCCAGGCTCTAAGACCTGAATCTCTGTAACAGGAAGATTGTGTTTTAGATTTGTGATAAATGTAGTTCTTCTGAGCTCCTTGAGGCCATGTGCAACCTTTTCTATGGGCAGAAATGTGGTTTGGCCTCATGCTTTGGTAATAGTAGTTGATATTAGAGTATTTTAGACTTTGATGAGGAGACCAGATAAGTTACATTTTTGTACTTTAGAACCCCAAGGCATAGTAAATTTTCAAATTGATCAGTAGTGCCTTAAAGAGATGTTTAGCAGTGGATGGCAGAGAGACAGATTTTCTAAAAACAATTATCGAATCTATTCATCTATATCTATGTAACTATTATATAGATACTTAGTTTTCTTAAGTCCTTACTTTAGATCCAATATCACATCAAGAGCACCCTGGCCCTTCGGTTTGGGAGGATTATAATATACTCGGCTCTGACACTGGGTCGGTTGAATTTGCACAGGTCTCTTGCACGTGCTCAGGCGTGTCTGACACTTTGCGACCCCCTGTACTGTGTCCCACCAGGCTCCTCTGTCCGTGGGATTCTCCAGCAAGAATACTAGAGTGGGTTTCCGTCCCCTACTCCAGGGGATCTTCCCGACCCAGGGATCAAACACACATCTCTAGAATCTCCTGCATTGGCAGGTGAATTCTTTACCACTTCACCACCTTGGAAGCCCTCTCCCCCAAATTAATTTATATATTATTTTGGGGGTTTTTTTGTCTATCTTGTTGTTGTTGTTTAGTCACTAAGTTGTGTCTGACTCTTTTGTGACCCCATTTACTGTAGCCCACCAGACTCCTCTGTCCATGGGATTTCCCAGGCAAGAATACTGGAATGGGTTCCATTTCCTTCTCCAGGCTATATTGCCGAATTAGGGATTGAACCCATGTCTCCTGCATTGGCAGGAAGATTCTTTACCACTGAGCTACCAGTCTATCTTTCTATTAAAAGGAAGGTTAGTTAAATAATATGTAATATATATGAGGCCTTTCTTTAAAATTGGAAACTTATTTTTTATCATTCTGTTAGTACGGGGCCTTTGAGTAACAATAAGTTGACTTCAAGTTGCCACTAGTACATAAACTTCCCGATAGCAGGGATTTTTGTCTCCTTTTTGAGCTACTTCATCTGTAGAGCCTAGAACAGTGCATACACAGAGTAGGCACTCAGTAAGAATATGTCAGATGGATGAATGGTGAAGTAGCTCACTAGCCTGGCACTTGAACCAGATACTCACTTTCCGTTATTTCTTCACGGGTCACAAGATGTGACCTCTGGCTGCTGCCCGGCTGGCTACACAGATGGCACCAGGGAAGCACGTTGACAGAACGTTCTCTGCCCTTCCGTGACCCGATTCTGACTCGACAGGTTTATGGTAGGGAAGAAGCAGACAAAAGGTTTGCTAGGTGTACCCAGGTTTAAGATGCTCTGAAAAATCTATCCTTTGAGTAGAATGTTTTGAAACAAAAGAATTCTCTCTTTATAGTATCCTACATCACCTATTCATACAGTATAGGAGGGAAACGCATCATAATTCTGGTACTATTGAACAAATATCTTTCTCATAGACCAGTGGTTCTCAACCAGGTGCAATTTTGCCCTCCCCCTAGGAGACATTGGCAGTGTCTGGAGATACAGTTGATTGTTACAAGTGGAAAGAGGAGGCGACACTGGCATCTGGTGGATAGAGGCCAGGGGTGCTGTTCAATATCTTACAGGATAGAAGACAGCCTCCACAGCGAAGAATTATCCGGCCCAAAGGGCAGTAATGCTGAGATTAAGGAAAGCATTATAGACCTAACTGTTAAGCTTTGCTCTTATGTGAAGGTTGTAGTTCAGGCACATAATTTGTTGCCTCTTACTCACAAATGCCCATAAGAATGAGCCAATTGCAACAGGCCTCTCCTGTGTGGGATATAAGATTTTGGGGTTTTTTTAAAATCTACTTGGAAAGCTTTTGGAATTGGGGTTCTTTGCTATAGCAATAAAAAGCAACAAAAATAGTGCCATTTGCAGAGATGTGAATAGATCTAGAGACTGTCATATGGAGTGAAGTCAGAAAGAGAAAAACAAATATCATATAATACTGCCTATATGTGGAACCTAGAAACATAGTACAGATGAACTTATTTGCAGAGCAGAAATAGAGACACAGATGTGAGAACAGACATATGGATAACTTACGGGTATGAAGCGGGCAGGAGGGGTGGGATGAATGGAAGATTAGGGTTGACGTATGCTCACTGTATAAAATCGGTCAGTAATGAGACCCTGACCTGCAGCCCAGGGGACCCTGCTCAGCTCTGTGGGGACCTGAGCAGGAGGGGACGCTGAAGAGGAGGGGACGTGGATCCGTGTGGCTGATTCACTTTGCTGTACAGCAGAAACTCACAAAATATTGTAAAGCAACGGTACTCCAGGTTTTCTTTAAATCATGGTTATTATGAATGTAGAAGATCCTTTATACTTTGAAGGTCTTAAGTTCTTCCTGTCTTATAACTTTAGATCAGTAATAGAAGTTGAAGAATATAAAACAACAAAGCATTTTAGGTGCATAATTTCTTTTTTTTTTTTTCCATTGGTCAACATACTTCCCACTTTTACTGAACAGAACAGATACATATTTTTTAAATGGGCTTTACAATATATGGTTTTATCACTGGCTTACAACTAAACATACTGTGAACATTTTCTTTTACCACCATTGAAATAATCGCACAGTATACAGAAATCATAATGTATTAAGCAATCTTTATATATCGGGGGAATTTAGATAGTTTTTTTAAAGGAGACTTTATTCTTTTTACAAATCCTTCAGAAAACAGGTACCCTTGTCTCATATAGCTTCCTATTGATGGTAGAAACTTGCCCTTCAACTTAGCCTTTTAACTTGCTTCTCTGTAGCCACCAGATCAACTAAGACNGTGTTCCTTTGGCTACCTGTGCTTTTGAGCATAGAAATCTTTTTTTCATGCACAATCCAGTGGTGGTACCTGGAATCCCCAGCCTGAAGTGGGATCAGGTGAGGGAAACTTGTGTTCTGCGAGGGAAACTGTGTTCTGTGGTGGGGTGGGGAGGCAGTGTGAAGTACATGCCTGTATTGTCCCCAGAATCAAAACCAGTCCAACCATCCATCTACCCAGCTCCAGAATCAGATGCTCACTCACTCTCTTAGGCGAAAGTGTCAGATACTCAGAAAACACATAAAGGACCACGATAAAGATACCACACTGTACATCTAAGGTGGGTACGTCTTACTCTTTTGGATTCCCATGGATGCTACAAACTGGGAAGGCTGGTGACGAATTGCAGGCTCCTCTTGGGACCAAAGGCCATCATCTCTGAAGGCCAGCTCTCCCTGTGACGGACGGGCAAGTACAAGGTCGCCCAATCCAGCAACTAATCCCAGTTCAAGTGCTCTGGAAAAGGCCATGATCAAAATCACACTGAAAGAGAAGCACTCCATCTTCCTCTGGTCTGTGGCCCCTAACAATTTAGGAGGAAAAAAATATTAACCCGGCTTTAATCCACAGTCATTGCCAAAACACCCAAAGGAAAATGTTAATTTCTTGACATGAAAAAGAGCATTTTAAAGGAAAAATATCCCAGATGAAAAATATGCTTTCCCCCAAAGTTCTTAGAAGCAGAAGTCGGGCTGTCCGGCGAAACTAGGGTACACCTCACGGGTCTGTCCTATCAAATGCTTGGCTGTAACCTTCAGGGAGATTCGCCTTCCTCCCTAGGTGCATAATTTCTGTAGCAACTTTGTAAAGGACGTCCAAGTGAGAATTTTGTTTTAAGTCAGTAGATTCAGGAACTTTTCCAAAGTAAGCATGGTGGAAAATTATAACTTGAAATTTAAAGAATCTTATTTTATTTTTATTTATTTATTTTTTTGTAGAATCTTATTTTAAATCTCTCTTTTCTACATCATAATGCTACCTCAGATGTTAGATTATGGAAATTTTGCCAATCTTCTTATCATATATTAACTCACATGTTCTTACTTTTACAGATACAGGAATTTTCCTGTGGTGGAAGTGAATTGGTCAATGCTACATAATGAAAGGCCATACTTGTGTAATTTTGTAGGAACTGTTTATGAAAATTCATCCAGACAAGCACTAATGAAAATTTTGAAACAGGATGGGAATGATAAGCTTTGCTGGGTTTCAGCAAGAGAACAGTAAGTTCTGTGTTTACTTGATTCATCCATAATGTTTCCAATCTGAGAGTTGCTTTATGTGACACTACAGATTTCCACAGGCATTTTTAACTCCATTAATACCAGTCTTTCCCCAGAAGAAACATTAATAACTAAAGCTGTGAAGAAACAGTGTTGTATACATTAAAAAATAGAGAGCATCTCCGATAGTCCATCTTGAAGACAAATGCTGGTAACTGTCATATGCACATGTCAATTGTTAGGTTTCCTCAATATTACTTGTTAGTCATACTTGAACACAGGAGATTGTGGATGACAATCAGGATCTTAAGTTCATCTCTGAGATGTTCAGCAAACCAGTTCAGTGTTCCAAGACTGGCATGCCATATGCCTCACAGCGTCAGGAACCTGGCATCACTCTGAGGACAGAGGCCATGTACTATTCTTTGAACCCCAGGATCTAACATAGGACTTTGCATAATGTAGGCCAGGACAAGTGGGGAATGGATGGATGGATGGATGGATTTAATAGGGTTAACTTTCCTCCATCTTTTACATGATAATCATGAAACAGGTGTTCATGAACTGAAGGAAGAAATTTGGAGATCATTTATTTTATTTTTAAATAAAGTTTCATGTGTAAAGCAGTGTCATCAGAGAAGTAATGCCTTTTTTAAAAAATGTCCTTTTACATCTAGAAATACATTAATTGGAGCAGATACTGTGTTCTAGAAAGCATGACTTTACTACAACCAACCCAGTAAAGGTCTCATTCAAATTTGATGGAGTGATCAAAAGTTTTACTGAGAAGCAAAAGCTAAGAGTATAGCACCACCAAACCAGCCTTAAAACAGATGTTAAAGGAGCTTCGCTAGGTGAAAAAAGAAAAGGCCACAAGAAAGAAGAAACTTGCAAAGTAAAAAAGTAAAGACAAACATACAGTAAACGTGGGAAATCATCCACACATGGAGCTAGTGGGGAGGTTAAAAGACCAAAGTAATAAAATCGCCTGTGTCCATAGTAAGCGTCTAAGGGACGTACCGAACAGCCTGTGTCCATAGTAAGCGTCTAAGGGACGTACCGAACAGCCTGTGTCCATAGTAAGCGTCTAAGGGACGTACCGAACAATTAGATATAGAATATGGTGCCAAAAACAGTAATTGTGAGGGGAGAAGAGTACAAATGCAGGATTTTTAAAATTCACTTGACGTTAAGAGATCAGCAACTTAAAGTGATAAAAAGATCAGTGAAACTATAAGGTGGTTCTTTGAAAAGATAAACCCAAATGTATAAACCTTTAACAAGACTCTTAAAAAACAAAAATGAAGAGCACCCAAGTCAATAAAATCAGAAAAGAAAAAGTTACAGCCAACATTACAAAAATACAAGGCATCATAAGAGACTACTATGTACAACTATATGCCAATACAGTGGACAACCTAGGAGACATGGGCAAAGTCTTAGAAAGGTAGAATCTCCCAAAACTGAACCAGAAAGAAATAGAAAATATGAACTGACTACCAATAATGAAACTGAATCAGTAATTTAAACACTTCCAACAAACAAAAGTCCAGCACCAGATGGCTTCACAGGTAAATTCTACCAAACATCTAAGGAAGAGTTGACATCTGTCCTCAAACTATTTTTTAAAAATTGCAGAGGAAAGAACACTTTCAAACTCATTCTGCAAGGCTGTAATCACCCTATGTGATACACCACATTAGCAAAATGTAGAGTAAAAACCATATGATCATCTCCATAGATGCAGAAAAAACTTTTGATAAAGTTCAACATTCATTTACGATAAAAACTCCCCAGAAAGTGGGCATAGAGGGAACTTGCCTCAACATAATAAAGACCTTATACAACAAACCAGGAACAAGACAAGGATGCCCACTCTCACCACCATTTATTCAGCATAGTTTCAGAAGTCTTGGCCACAGCAATCAGAGAAGAAAAAGAAATGGAGTCCAGATGGGAAAGGAAGAAGGAAAACTGTCACTGTTTGCAGATGACATGACACTGTACATAGAAAATCCTAAAGACACCACCAGAAAACTACTAGAGCTCATCAGTGAGTTTGGTAAAGTTTGGTAAAGTTGTAAGATACAAACTTAACATATAGAAATTGGTTGCATTTCTCTATACTAACAATTAGTGTACCACCAGAAAGAGAAATTACCGTCTTATCAAATAAACTACCTAGAAATAAACCTAAGAAGGGAAAAGACCTATGCTCAGAAAGCTATAAAACACTGATGAAAGAAATTGAAGACAACATAAACAGATGGAAAGATATATCTTGTTCATCTTGTTCTCAGAATAAAATAATTAACACTGTGAAAGTGACCATACTACCCAAGGCAATCTACAGATTCAAGACAATCCCTATCAAAATACCAATGGCATTTTTCACAGAATTAGAACAAACCATTTAAAAATGTTTGGAAACACAAAGACCCCAAATAGCAAAAAAAAAAAAAAGTCTTAAGAAAGAAGAATGATTTGGAGGAATCATGCTCCCTAACATCAGACTGTACTACAAAGCTACAGTCATCAATACAGTGTGATACTGGCACAAACAGACACGTAGATCAGTGGGACAGAATAGAGAGACAGAAATAAATCCACACACTACAGTCAACTAAGCTGTGACAAAGGAGGCAAGAATATACAGTGGAGAAAAGACAGTTTCTTCAATAAGTGATGCTGGGAAAATTGGACAGGTGCATGTAAAAGAGTGAAATTATAACATTCTGTAACACAATATAAAAAAATAAACTCAAAATGAATTAAAGACCTAAATATAAAGAACAGATACTATAAAACTAGAAGAAAACATAGGTAGAATTCTCTTTGACATAAATAACAGCAATTTTTTTTTCAGATCTGTTTTCTAAAGCAAAGGAAACAAAAATAAATGGGAACCTGATTAAACTTAAAAGCTTTTGCACAGCAAAGGACACCATCAATAGAACAAAAACCTAAAGGGTTAATATCATATATATATATATATATATATATAACTCATCCAGCTCAACACCAAAGAAAGCAAATGGCCAAGTTAAAAAAAATGGGCAGAAGAACTAAAAAGACATTTTTCCAAAAAGGAAATGCAGATGGCCAGCAGACACATGAAAATATGCTCAACATGGATACATCAGGGAAATGCAAATCAACACCACATGTGTGAGGAACAAGAGACAGTGTTCCTGGAATGCACTATGGGCAGAAGAACTAAAAAGACATTTTTCCAAAAAGAAAATGCAGATGGCCAACAGACACATGAAAATATGCTCAACATGGATACATCAGGGAAATGCAAATCAACACCACATGTGTGAGGAACAAGAGACAGTGTGCCTGGAATGCACTGAGTGAGGGCAGAATATGAGAGCTGATTGTAGAGACAGGTTTACTCTTGATGTTCCTTTGCTACCATTGAACCAGGAGGTGTGGGGTAGGAGTCCTCCTCATTGCTGCTTCCAGACCTCTTTCCCTTTTCCCTCCATAAAACAAGATCAGTTTTGAATCTCATACCAGCAGACAAAAGTATTCACTACTCTTTCTCTTTGAAATCATAATGAAGAGAAATAAATTGGGAGGTTGACTTACTATATAAAAGAGATAACTAATAAGAGTCTACTATAGCACACAGAACTCTACCCAGCACTCTGTAATGACCCATGAGAAAAGGATCTAAAACAGTGGATATATGTTTATGTATAAATGGCTTATTGCTATACAGCAGAAATTAACATTGTAAATCAACAATATTCCAATAAAAATTAATTTTAAAAAATAGCTCCTTTATAAAGAAATGTAAACCTTGGGTTCATCTCCTTAATTCTTTGAAGAGTCTAGTTCCTGATGCACTCTAATTCTCTCCGACATCTCTCCAGCCTCATTCTTAGTGATCCCCAAATCCACACAGATGGTCTTTCCATAGCCTTGGCCCTGCACATCCTTCACTTCCTCTCCTTCAGTGATTTGGGTCTCCACTTGACTTCAGCCATTCACTGTCATGGTCATTTTCTAGACCTCATGATTATACATACTGCATGATCTCAAGTTCCAGCAACTCTCTCTGTGACCCATCTTTTTCTAACACTCCCATTCATTCCCTGTAATAATCTGATTTCAGCAATTTAGCTGGGACTTATAATTCCTTGTTCCTACTACCTTTCCAATGTCGTTCACTTAACGTAATCTTTACTTTCTTATTTATCCCACTTAAACTTCATAGTCAATCATGACTGCATATACATTCAGCTTCTTCATTTCTTAATCTAGCAAATCCTAACTGGTTAAATCCAGCTCTCTTACCTGCTGCAAACTTCATAGTCAATCATGACTGCATATACATTCAGCTTCTTCATTTCTTAATCTAGCAAATCCTAACTGGTTAAATCCAGCTCTCTTACCTGCTGCATACCTCCACCTGTGCAGCCTCACTTGGAGAAGGGTGCTGACTGATCTCACCTGAAATATCTGACCTTGAATGTCTGGCAGTCATCCATTTCTGTTTTCCATGTGTTCTCCCACTTTCCTGGAAGACCGTTTCATACCCTCTTTGCCCAGCTGCTCTTACCTTATAACCCTATTGCTTATTTCCCTGAGAAAATAGAAAACGTCTAGCTTTCCAGCTAGTCTCTCAGTTTCTACCCTTGCCCCATACAGTCTGTTCTCAACACGATAGCCAAACTGTTTCTGCTAAAACATAGATGAGGTCACTTGCCCTCTGACCGAGACTGTGTGATAGGGCGCTCTGACCCCATCTTCTCCACCTCTCCCCTTCAGTCGCTCTGCGTCAGCCACCCTGGCTCCCTTGCTGACCCTTGAAAATGCCAGGCACGGACCATCTCGTGGCCTTTATGCCTGCTGTACCTTCCGTCCTCTCCCCAGGTATCTGCGTGGCTTGCTCCCTCATCTCTGGCTCCGCGTTCAGACGCCCTGAGCGAGACGCTCCCTGATCGCCTGTTTGCTGTCCTAATGCTGCCCTGCCAGAAACTCCGTCCTCACTTCTCTGCTCTGTTTTTCCACACAGTACTTAACGCCTTCTAAATAATTGGCTTGACCTGGTTACTGTCTGTCTCTACCACTTGAACTGAGATATAAGCTCCATAAGGGCAGGAATTTGGAGGGTGAGGTAGAGAGAAGACCTAGCACTCACAAAATTTTGGCGGTATCACATTCATTCAGAAACTGTATGATCACTAGATTTTAAGTGTACAACTGCCAGCTTCTCAAATTCTTAAATATTTTCAAGAAACCTGTTTGGGCAAGACTTGATTCATCTCTTCTGCCTGCCATCTCTATAATGCATTTACCATTTCCTGTAACCAACATTAAAAGATAAAATATTTTCTTCCATAAAGATACGCTTAGTAAAATGAAAACTGCAGCCGTTTTTCTGATTTTCTAGGTGGCAGCCTCAAGAAACCAATGAAAGCCTTAAGAATTACCAAGATGCTCTGCTCGAGAGCGATCTCACGCTGTGCCCGGCAGGAGTGAACACGGAGTGTTACAGAATATACGAGGCTTGCTCCTGTGGCTCTGTTCCTGTGGTGGAGGATGTGATGACGGCTGGCGGCTGTGGAAATTCGTCTGTGCACCTTAACGCTCCCCTGCAGCTGCTCAAGGCCATGAATGCTCCTTTCATCTTCATTCAGAACTGGGAGGAGCTTCCTGCTATCTTAGAAAAAGAGAAGACTATAAATTTAGAGGAAAAGATTCAAAGAAGAAAAAGATTACTTCACTGGTATCAACACTTCAAAACAGAGCTAAAAATGAGGTTTACTAATATTTTAGAAAGTTCATTTTTAAAGAACAATAAAAATTAACTGTAATTCATTTTTTTCAAGCCAAGGTCTGAGTTTTTGAATCATTTCTAATGCTGTGTGTGTATTTAGAAATGTTCTCTAAGGTACCCCGTAGACTCTAGATTATGTCTGTGGTATTGACCAAGTACAGCCTTATTGGACCACTCCTGAAAATAAAGTTAAAATGTACTCAGACTCATCTGTACAAAGTTGAGTGATAGAGCATTTATTAATGCTTCTCACTCGTTTAAATCTGCTCGAGGGAAGCAGCATGGTTTAGTGGAAAGACTGGGCTGTGGAGTCAGACAAAGCCCGGGTTGACCCCTCACTGCTGTGCCTACTGTCGGGAACCTTGAGCAAGCCACCTCGTTTTGAGTGTAGGTTCCTTTCCATGTAGAACGGAGATCATGGTACCTCATGGAGTTGATTATAAATATGAAATGAAATGATATATAAAGTACTCAGTAATTGAAATAATTTCTAACTCATTTGTCATTCCTTACTAGTTAATAATAGGGTTAAATTTAAATATTTTAATACACAATCATTTCCATAATTTGACAGTAATCATACGTCATGTTGGGAATGTATGTGGGCAGATCTTACAGAGTTAGACTTTATTTATTTATATGTTATCTTTTGGTTATTATATTTCTTAAGTCTTTTTATTGTGATGAAGTACACATAACAAAATTTACCATCTTTAAGATGTCCAAGTGTACAGTTCAGTGGTGGTAAATACATTCATAATGTTTTACAACCATCATCACTATCCATTTCCGTAGGTTTTTCCATCTTGTAGGACTGAAACTCCATACCCATTTAACAACCACTCTCCCTTTTTGCCTTGTTCCAGGTCCTGGCAGCCACCACTCTCCTTTCTGTTTCTACGATTTTGACTGTTCCACGTATGTTAAAGTGGAATCAAACAGTGTTTCTCTTTTTGTGACTGACTTGTTTTACTTAGCATAATGTCCTCAGGGTTCATCTATGTGGTAGCATATGTCAGAATTTCCTTCTTTTTAAGGCTAAATAGTGTTCCATTGTATGTATATACCACATTTTATTTGTTCATTCTTCTATCAGTGGCCACTTGGATTGTCTCCACTTTTTGGCTATTGTGAATAAGGATGTGATAAACATGAATATACAGATATTTCTTTGTGATCTTACCTTTAGTTCTTTTAGATATACCCAGAAATGGAATTGCTGGATTATAGGGTAATTTGGTTTTTAATTTTATGAGATACCTTCATCCTGTTTTGCAGAGTAGCTGTACCATTTCAGATTCTCACTAACAGTGTACAGACATTCTAATTTCTCCACTTCCTTGCCAACACTTGTTATTTTCTGATATTTTGATAGTAGCCATCCTAACAGGTGTGAGGTGATATCTGATTATAGTTTTTGACTAGCATTTCCCTAGTGATTATTGATAATGAGCATATGTCTCCTTTGGATAAATATCGATTCAAGTTCTTTGCCTATTTTTTTGTTGTTAGTTGACAGAGTTGATAAAAGTTGATGCTTTTTTATAAATCTGTTTTCTTTACATAATTTCCTAAAAGTGAAATCACTGAGCCAAAATGTGTACACACATTAAGGCTTTCTTAAAACTTTATTTATATTGAAATATAGCTGATTAAGAATGTGACAGTCTCAGGTGGACAGCAGAGGGACTCAGCCACACATACACGTGCATCCGCTCTCCCCCACACTCCCCTGCGTGCATCCGCTCTCCCCCACACTCCCCTACGTGCATCCGCTCTCCCCCACACTCCCCTGCGTGCATCCGCTCTCCCCCACACTCCCCTGCGTGCATCCGCTCTCCCCCACACTCCCCTGCGTGCGTCCGCTCTCCCCCACACTCCCCTCCCATCCAGGCTGCCACGTAACACTGGGTGGGATTCTCGTGCTCTGCAGTAAGTCTTGCTGGTTATCCATCTTAAGCATAGCAGTGCACACATGTCAGTCCCCAGCTCCCTAACTGTCCCTTCCCCCATTCCTCGTGTCCCCCACCTCCCCCCGCCCAGCAACCAGAGTTTGTCCCCTAAGACTTGCATGTCTGTTTCTCTCTGGTAAATAAGTTCATTTTGTATCATTTCCTTTTAGATTCTGCATATATGAGATGTCATACTGTATTTCTCCTTCTCTGTCTGACTAAGGTGGAGTTAGAATTTTAAATTACTCAAGTTTTATTGGATCATGTATGTTGAGGTTGATGCCTAGAAACAGAATTTGGTCATGATCTAAACAAAACGTGGATCGGGGGCAGTCAGAGCGAGAAAATTAATGTCTAAACTCAACAAGAGTTGTCACTGAAGTGTGGAGTAAGACAGGACAACTCAAAGGAGAGTGCTTTGTGCAAGGCTGTCTGATGTCCCCAGCAGTGGCTTTGATTAAGGCTGAGAGAGCGTTCTGTGTCTTCAGGTCTTTGGGCTTCTGAAAGGATGCAGGGGACCTTGGGCTCAGTCAGTTGCTTTGCCTGGCTTTTTATTTTCTCAGCAATCCTGTTCCTGGACTCCTGTGAAACTAAGCAACTAACATTCCTTCCAGGAGTTTTTGGTCTCCTTATTATATGAACGGCCACATACTGGACAAGTGTAAATACCCACAGTTTCTTATACCCAGGACTCCCACAGAAGTATTCACATTATCAGAAGTTCTGGCAGCTTCAATGAAAAGGATCTTATCTTTGCATCACATTGGAGAGTCACCACAGTGGCTGCCACATCATGGTGCCATGGCATCCTCCGTTTGTTTTCTGGAGAACATACTTGTCTTTTTCGTTGTAACAGTGATTGTACATTTTACCAGCCCCAATGCAAACAAGAGATTCTCATCTGCAACACTTCAGACTTCTCTGTCCATCACCAAACCTGGAGTTTACTCATAAACTCATGTCCATCGAGTCAGTGATGCCATCCAACCGTCTCATCCTCTGTCGTCCCCTTCTCCTCCTGCCGTCAATCTTTCCCAGCACAAGGGTCTTTTCAAATGAGTCAGTTCTTCGCATCAGGTGGCCAAAGTTTTGGAGTTTCAGCTTCAGCATCAGTCCTTCCAATGAGAATTCAGGACTGATTTCATTTAGGATGGACTGGTTGGATCTCCTTGCAGTACAAAGGACTCTCAAGTCTTCTCTTGATTCCACCTTGTGCTTCATCCAATCCAGTATTTCTCATTATGTATAAAGGCAGAGGAACCAGAGATCAAGTTGCCAACATCTGCTGAATCATCAAAAAGCAAGAAAGTTCCAGAAAAATATCTATTTCTGCTTTATTGACTATGCCAAAGCCTTTGAATGTGTGGATCACAATAAACTATGGAAAATTCTGAAAGAGATGGGAATACCAGACCACCTGACTTACCTCTTGAGAATATGTTTGCAGGTCAGGAAGCAACAGTTAGAACTGGACATGGAGCAACAGACTGGTTCCAAATAGGAAAAGGAGTACATCAAGGCTGTATACTGTGACCCTGCTTATATGCAGAGAACATCATGAGAAATGTTGGGCTGGATTAAGCACAAGCTGGAATCAAGATTGCTAGGAGAAATATTAGTAACCTCAGATATGCAGATGACACCACCCTTACGGCAGAAAGTGAAGAAGAACTAAAAAGCCTTTTGATGAAAGTGAAAGAGGAAAGTGAAAAAGTTGGCTTAAAGCTCAACATTCAGAAAACTAAGATCATGGCATCTGGTCCCATCACTTCATGGGCAATAGATGGGGAGACAGTGGAAACAGTGGCTGACTTTATTTTTGGTGGCTCCAAAATCACTGCAGATGGTGACTGCAGTCATGAAATTAAAAGAGGCTTACTCCTTGGAAGGAAAGTTATGATCAACCTAGACAGCATATTAAAAAGCAGAGACATTATGTTGTCAACAAAGGTCCATCTAGTCAAGGCTATGGTTTTTCCAGTGGTCATGTATAGATGTGAGAGGGACTGTGAAGAAAGCTGAGTGCTGAAGAATTTATGCTTTTGAACTGTGGTGTTGGAGAAGACTCTTGAG